GTATGAGATGATGAGGTAGAGTATGGTGTTCAGAAATTTGAAAAAATAAGAGCTGACATTAAAATTTGATCATACCCCTCAGGCATAGTGCTAAACTGTCTTGTTTTTGTTATTAGTTGCTGTCAGATTAGCTTTGACTCATAGCATGTCCATGAATAACAGAACAAAGCCCCATTCCATCATCATTACCCTTGTTTAACTTAGGTTACTTTATTTTGTTGTTGTTAGTTACCATTCATTCAGTGGATTCTGTCTCCTGGCAACCATGTGTGTGTAGATTAGAATGAAGACATAGTGTTTTCAAGACTGGGAGTTTACAGAAACAGATCACCAGACCTGTCTTCAAAAGTGTCTCTGGGTGGGTTCAAACCACCAACCTTTTGGCTAGTAGTCAAATGCAACTGTTTGTAACACCTCTTTAAAACTCTGGGGAAGTTGGTATTTTAGCATCCCCATTTAACCAGGGAAGAACTTGAGTTTGTAAGTGATGTGTCCAGAATTTGTACCAACATCTAGCTGGCATGATAGCTGCACTGTTAACCACTCTGCCTACTGTTTCCCCAAACAGGACTTGATCCAAGAAGGCAGACAGTGAGGTACTCAGGAAGACTGGCAGGCAGATTCTAGCCCAAGTTCAAGGCCTGAACTTCAGCTGGGGGTGGGGGGGTACTAAGATGCAAACAAAGCAGAAGCATAGGCATTCTTATCAGATCTGGGTCACAAGGTTTCAATTTGATTCAAGTCAGAGGTAAATGTGCTAAATTCTACTTTCTATGGTGATTAATTTTGGGAAAGAGCCAAGGGGCTCAGCTGTGAGAAGTAGTACTGGATGGAAGCTGGGAGGGAGCCAAGCATTAAAGTTGACCAAGTTACAGATTTTAACCTTAGAGGGTCAATTAAGGTGAATAAACAAGAAGGTCAATGAATATCAGCCTTGAAAATGTGTTGTGATTTTCTGACTGAACAAATACCTGCTCTAAATTTTCCATATTGGAAAATACATTGGTAATTGATATTGTCAATATAAATGTCTCACTACCTCTGGAACACCAAGGACTCAAGCCCCAGATGGCAAGAACAGAAAACTGAACAATTCTCATGTCAAGTTACAAAGCATTTTTATCTACATCCTAACATCATATGTGAGCTTTGCATGTTAAAGTCAGCATGAAAAATGAAGATTGGATCTAGTCAAAATGGCCCTTGAAGTTTCCTTAAATGAGCATATACAGTTGATGGTTTTGCATCTGTCAGGCCATTTCTAAGTCCAACACGGCCCATTTTCTCTTTAAGTGTGTGTTGAAACACATGCTTCTTAATTTGAGCAGTAGATGAAATAGCATTCATTTAGTGGCTATTTGAAATTTGTATGAAAAATATATATGTGTTGAGGATGGTAAGGTTGTGTTCAGGGTTTTTTTTCTGAATGCAAAGAGTGATTTTCCAAATAGTAAGTGTACATGTAATAGAACCCTAAAAGTCCTGGTGTGGTGCTATAGGATAAGCACTGGACTACTAACCAAAGATTAGTGGTTCAAACCCACCAGCTGCTCCTCAGAAATGCTGTAAGTGTCCGCCATGAGTGAAAACCGACTTAAGGGTATTTTACAATAATAACTCTTTCGTTATTTACATTTTGAAGATAAAGAAACTGACCACAAGTTAGTATGCATAATAAACATCTAAACCAAGGTCATATTGTCAAATCCTGGGCAGTAGCCACCTTAGCCCAGACACCTCAATATGAGCATTACACCTAAAGAGCAGCGCATTCTTTAGCTTATAGAATTCCAGGGATGCCCCAGAAGAAAACGAAGCCTCCATAACCCATGTGCTGGCCACCTGCCACAGCACTAGCTCTGGGATTTAGACCTACCACTGTGTGCTTTGGCTGCTACAAGTCATCAGTGTGTTGAACTCTACCATATAGCACCAACTAGCAACTGAGCATGACCTCAAACTCAGGTCTTTATGTATCAACCTTCAATGGAGCAGGCTGTTTTTCTGTTGTTTTCTGGTCCCTGCAGGTGACAAGGAGACAAACCCAGATGCAACGCACATAGATCCTGCCCTTTGGGGCAAAATGATATAATTACTGTGTTTGATTGCTGACTTATGTTTTAAAAATCTCTTTGGAAGTTTACAGTCCTTTTGTGACCCCTCTAGAGATTTATAGCTGTAATAAATGTCTCAGATGTCAGTTCAAATTACCTAAGCAGCAGTATTCTAAGTAGATATTTCCCTCTTCTCCTGTCATCGTTCCTCCAACACTGTGGCTAGTAAATCTCCTCCAGTCTCTTGACCTGATGAGTCATGGTCAACCCCACCCCCACTGCCCATGTGATTCCTGCCACGCCTTGCCTGACTCTTTTGTGTCCATGTTTACTTTAACATCTCTCAGTATGATTTTCTGTTGTCATTGGTGAAGAAACATGAAGAAAGGGAACGATGTCAGCAGAAATGGCAGAATGGGAACCTCCAAAAATACTCTCCTCCATAAGAGCAATGAAAATTGTCAAAATCATTTCTTTTAAGGGCTTTGAAAACTAACCAAACAATGGAGAGAGCATTCTTTCAAGAAAAAAATGACTGCTTCTCTGTTAGAATATGGCCTTCAAGTCTCTTTATCTCGCCCTATTCCCATCCTGATCTTTAAATTCATATGGAAATCAAAGGCCACAGAGGAGCCAAAACAATTTGAAAAAGAACTAAATTGTAGGGCTCGCTTTTTCCAGTTTCAAAATGTACGACGTTGCTACAGTCCCAGAGACGCGGCCCAGTTGCCATCAAGTTTGCTTTCACTCATTACAACTCCATGGATTTATGGAGATCTGTGATCTGTAGTGTTTTCAATGGCTGATTCTTCAGAAGCAGATTAACAGGACTTTCTTTGTAAGTGCCTCTAGGTAGACTTGAATCTCCAACCTTTTGGTTTATGCTGTTGTTGTTGTTAAGTGCCATTGAGTTGGTTCCAACTCAGAGTGACCCTGTATAGGTTTTCTAAGGAGTGGCTGATAAGTTTCAGCTGCCGACCTTGTGGTTCAAACCAGCCTTGCAATCCAGTGCATTATCCTGCAGTGTCTCAGCAGGTATATGGTGTTGGTGTTATGTGCCGTGGAGTCGATTCCGACTCATAGCGACCTTGTACAGGGGTTCCAAGGCTGTAAATCTTTACAGAAGCAGAAAGCTTCATCTTTCTCCCGCGGAACAGCTGGTAGTTTCAAACTGCTGACCTTGAGGTTCGCAGCCCGATTCGTAACCACTATGCTACCAGAGTTGAGCCTATTAACTGTACCACTAGAGACACTCTTAACTCTCCACTCCATCAGAAAAGGTTTGAAGTGCTCTAGGCTCTTCATTTCCACCCCATTTCCAGCCTTCTTGAAGTTCCTTCTTTGGGGACAGTAGCAGAAAGTGGCAAAAGCGGAATGGTACTAATACATTCCTTCATGTCACAATGAAACAGTATTTTTAGCTTATTTTTTTTAAGTTGGCATCAAAAGTCCAGTTTAGTACTTCAAAACCCAAAAGCCTCCACTGTTAGCAAATGCAAATGAAGCACTTAGCTATGAGTCTGAATTGGCGCTCTGGCTGCCAACAATAACAGCAAAGGAACTAGTGGCAATTTCTCCATAAGAGGAGACCTGGGTTACCAACCAGAAGCAGTTGCTATTTACACCCATGGGTGGTTGCTATGTCAAGAAGACTCAGTTACAGATAGATCTCAATCTTGAAACCCTTCAGTAGGTGAGGAGTCTCCCTTGTGATGACAATCATCAACTGCCCTAACTTTGAAGAGGGTCATCAGATGAGGGGCTGCTGGTCTGTCTATCCTCACCACAGGGACAAGGACCATGTCTAAGATTGGCAGCTGTGGCAACAAGTGTAGGAAGAGGGACTGAAGAACATCAAGCAAAACAAAGAGGCATTGCAGAGCCTTTCTAGTAAGAGTCTAGAGTTGGAGAACCCAGATTTAAAAAGATGAGGTGGGAGGCCACACAATGGAGAACAGCAGGTTAAATGCAGGCTAGAGACCCATGGGCAGATCAGTTCACTGCCGTACAAAAGCAGATGGCTTGAATTGAGCTTGGCAAACTCCGTTTAGAGTTCTTGGCTCCATTTTGCCCCCCACAGATGTGGCCAGTAGAACACTTGTCAATATTAAAAAGATAGAGGAGAAGGGAAAAGGAGAAGAATAAGCAGAAAGAGAAGAAGAAAAGAGGATGAGGAGAAAGTGGTAGGAGGAGGTCTGAGAAATAGAGCAGGGGTAGGAGGGGATGATTATTGCTAGTCCCAGAGCTCTCTGCTTTCTAAGGATGCAGCACAAACTTGGTACATACTTCCTCAATTAGTTATCAGTACTCTTATTAGTTATTATCTGGTCATGGAAGAGGCGAAGGGTGGAGAGATTTAGTCCTAGTGAAAACTTGGTTTAAAATGAACTTTTCATACCCAGGCCCCAAAGTCCAGGCTATAATAATGCAAGTGAAATGCTGGTTGCATTATTAAGTATAATAGGAGCTATGGAAGGAGAAGGCTGAATCCTCCAAGATATCCTAACTCCAGTTTTGGGCGCTTTACCTATTCTCGCTGCTCCTTCAGATTCTGGACCCTCTTATCCAGGGTTCTTATATACATATGGGAGTCAAGGAGATAAATGCAATGTGATAAATGGGCTGGGTGTAAAATAACAAAAGGCAGGAGACCCTGGGCTTCATGAAAGGGGTTAGCAGGGAGTGCTGGAGATTATGGTAAATGGAGACCATATGCCACCCTCTGAAGAGGCAGTACTTCTCTGTTCCATCCTATCATTGTCATGTGGGAAAGCAGCCTCAGAGGTGCCAGACCTTCTCATTTTTTCACAAGAAGACAGAGGACCAAACAAAATATATCTGCAGACTCACTGTATCTGCCTTCAGGTTTTCTGGACCACAGTTGTGTATTTTTCTGAATCGCAAGCATAAGATTGATTCCTTCTCGGTGTTCCTTTCTTTTCCCAGGCCATTACATTTATGTTGACACCTCATTTGCCAAGCAAGGGGAGAAGGCTGTGCTGCTAAGTTCTGATTTACAGGCTGAGGAATGGAGCTGCCTCCGCTTGGTCTACCAGATAACTGCATCTTCAGAGTCTCTATCAAATCCTAGCAAGTTGAGCCTCTTTGCCAGATTTGAACATGAAAGCTTTGACCGCTTGCTTTGGTCAACTAAAGAAGCTTCAGACAGTTGGCTCATAGCCAGCCTGGATTTGCAAAACAGTCCCAAGAAATTCAAGGTACGTGGAGTTTAGAAGGAAGGTACAGGGTTTAATATGTATGTTTTGTGCTCCTCTGAGATCTCATGAAAACTGCAGCCTTTTGAAGTTAGTTATTTCTTGTATTAGGATGTGATGCTTTATAGGCGACATCTTCTAGAAAAGTATCAGTCATCTAAATTAATCGTTTATTAATTCTCTAAAAGAACTTCTTCCTGAATTTCTTTCTCATCTATTTAAATGACATATCTTTAAAAACTAGATGGGATTAAACCAACCCTCCAGTGGAAATTGAGTTCCTTAAGGATGTCAGGGAGAATTTTCATTTCTTCTCATTTTGTTTCACCTCTCCTTCCTTGTGTGTGGCATGTGTTTATGTTCTCTCCCTAGTGGTTTGTTTGCTATGTTTTTTAAATAAGATATTAAATATAATGGAAAATATGTTTTAAATCATAGCTACTTAAAGAGCATGTGCCTTCAAAGGTATTGAAAGAGGAAGGTAGAGAATGCAAAACAAAGCTGAGTGTGGATTGGGTTGGGGGAAGGAGGGTGTGATCTACCCTTGGTTGGCCATGAGTTGTGATATTTAGTAGGACTACGTCATTGAGAACACAATGGATCGTTTATGAACACTCTCTTCATGCCTAATCCCCTTCCTATTGCCTATCCCATTGCTCTTCTGCTTCAGAACATTTTGAAATACTGTCAGGTGCCATGGATAGAGGGAAGACATATTGAGGGTCTGCGTTTCCCCTGTTTCACAATGTCCTCTCAACAGACCATCACACTGTTAGTCTACCAGCACAGTTGCAAAATATCAGGCTAAAATATCATCAGAAAAAATGACTACTCTCAGAAACAGGACTGAGTATAAACTCTAACAGGATGTGGAATCAGCCACACAAATTGCCATGTTCTTCCCATAGTTCATCTGTTCTTTGTCTAACTTTTTCTGATAATGCACAACTAGGGAGACTAGATAGGAAATTTAGGGGGCAGAATTTACGTTAATGGGGGAAGAACAATTCAGAGAAGGAGAGTGAGAAAGGCTATATAAGTTGAGGGATGCAATCAATAGCACTGAAATGTACATTAGAAACTGTTGAATTGATACATGTTCTGCTGTGTAGATGAGAGGACTTCAAAAAGTTCATGGGAAAATTCCATTATCTTTACATTTCATTTTTCAAACTTTTTGAAGCCCCCTCACATGCCCAACAAAAAAGAGTATATTTTAAAAATCTCTTTTTAAAAACCACTAATTTTTTCCCATCAATATAAAAACTAGAAAGTGATTTATGAGCCTCTACCATTGTATGCGGAGACTCCCTCCAGAAAGTCAGATTGTGTGTCCTACTTCCTCCCACACTCTTAAACCCTCTACTCTCTGTTCCTAATCAGAATGGATTGCCTCAAGAACACACGCTGTCTTCTCCATCTTCAGTTAGAGCTCCCACAGCACTGACAAGGTGTGGTTGGATAACAATTGAAGATAGATTCCTCTGAGCTTCTAACGAACACCTTGCTCGCCTCAAAGTTCTCAGCATATATGTATGTTTCTATGTACACAGACACACACATCCATTTAACAAAGTCTGGTGTGGTACTGTAGGATCAGCACTGGACTAGGAACCACAAAGTCGGCAGTTCAAACCCACAAGCTGCTCCTCAGAAACCCTATACAGGGTAGCTATGAGTCAGAATCAACTTGATGGTACTTAACAGCAAAAAATAGTGAGATTGGTATTCAATACCAATTAGCTGGTACTAAACTCTCTTGTTTTGCTCTGACTTGCTGGGTGGCTGTTAACTAGTAGCTGAAACATTGAACAAGGAAACACAATGTTTAAAGGTCTAACATCTCCCCCGACCACTTTTTTTCCATGTGTTGTGCAGATTTTAATAGAAGGTGTCCTAGGGCAGGAGAACACAGCCAGCATTGCACTCTTTGAAATCAAGATGACAACCGGCTACTGTATTGGTGAGTTTCATTTTCATTGCGTCAGAACGTGAATCTTTTACTGAAAGCTGCTGTTGCCAGAGGGAATTGAATCAGCCCTAGAAACAGTCTTTTATAGAATACACTGCATAATGCATAGAAGTTTAAATTCTGTGTTAGTTTCACTTGAATGCTGTGTGCTGTTTCTCTGTATTTCGCACAGGAATGCTCATTAGAGTTTGTGTTTGTCAGGACTAGCTAGATTAATGAAAGAAAAGTGAATGTAGCAACTGTAATCTCAGAGTAGTACTACTTTAACCTTAACAAGAGCTAATAAAAATAATTTCCAGTTTGCTGCAAACTCAGCTTTCTGTAGCATTTCTTCCTTATTTCACTGCATTTCTTTCATGACACACCCAATGGTGTCTATATAATCACACTTGTCACTTAGGTGCTCGTTGAGCAGTGTTTCTTAGGTATCAGGTTCTGAGACAGCATAAAGAGAAGATAACCACCTTTGTCTTGTGCTTGCTCACCATCTACTCATCTACCACTGAAGTGATTTCTATATATGATAAATCCTACTAGAGAAGAACAAAAGCCCTGGTAGCATAGTAGGTTATGAGTTGGGCTGCTAACTTTAAGGTTAGCAGTTCAAATCTACCAGTTGCTCCTCAGGAGACAGATGAGGCCTTCTGCTCCTGTAAAGACTTGTAGCATCAGAAACCCTATACAGGTCTCTATGAGTCAGAACCAACTTGATGGGACACAACTACCACCACTAGAGAAGAACAAGCCATGGGTGCAGAAAAAAAGAACAGAAAATTGTTTGGAGAGGCTGTGTAATAGAAGAGATGCAGTTGAGCTGAAGTTAGTTATATGAGGATCAGAGCAGGAAAGAAAATGTTTTCTATGGGGAGAAAATACAGGGCAGGCCCAGACAAAGACAAGAGGTATGGTGTATTTGAAGTGAGACTCCTGGAGTTTGCTATGGAGATTCTGGTTCCAGGCTGTGGAGTGTGGACCTAATAAGTTACAGGTTTGTTACTAAGTGCTGTCAAGTCAGTTCTGACCCATAGAGACCCTGTCAAGGGTTTCTGAGGAGCAGCTGATGAGCTTGAACCCCCAACCTTGTATCTCAAGCCAACTTTGCAATTCAGTGCATTAACTCACAGCACCACACCAGGTTTGTTGTTGTTGTTGAGTGTCGTCAAGTCAATTCCGACCCATAGTGACCCTGTATAGGGTTTCCAAGGAGCAGCTGGTGAGCTTGAACTGCCAACCTTGCAGTTCAAACAACTTCGTAATCTGGTGCATTAACCCACAGCACCATCCCAGGACACCAAGTTTGGGAGACACTAAAAAGCCCTGGTGTGGCGCTGTAGGGCAAAGCACTGGACTGCAGATTGAGTTGAACCACAAGGTCGGCAATTCAAACTCACCAGCCACTCCTTGGAAACCCTATACAGGGTCACAACTCTATGGCAATTAACAAATAACAAAAAGTCAGCCAGTAGGGGAAAGGCACACACTTTCTTGTAAGGAAAATGGCTCTGGCTACCAAGGGGAGATGGATTGGAAAGGAGGGAGACACACATGAGGCGGAAAAATACAGAGGAAGCTATTGTGACCTTCCAGAAGGGGCAGAAGGAGAGTTTAAAACTGGGAGCTGCCAGTGGAGTAGGTAAATGGAGTAGGTTTGAGGACTTTTCAACACTCACAGTATTTGGAGGTTGAATGGATACAGAGTGGAAGAGAAAGGAGAATCAAAAGTGATCCTGAGCTCATAGAGAGCTTTCAATACATTTCTGACTTTTCTTTTTCTCTAGTTGAACCCTGGTATGGTGCTGTGGGTTAATACATCGGACTGCAAAGTCGGTTTGATTTGCAAGGTCAGTGGTTCAAGCTCACCAGTCGCTCCTCGGAAACCCTATACAGAGTCGCTATGGATTGGAACCAACTCAACGACACTTAACAACAACAACAACAACAACATGGACAACTTTAGCACTGTGTGTCAGGGCTGGGTAACAAACTTATTGTTGTCATTAGGTAACCATTGAGTCACTTCCAACCCATAACGACCCTGTGAAGGTTTTCCAAGGAGTGATTGGTGAGTTTGAACTACTGATTTTGCAGTTAGCAGTCCAATACTTATCCTAAAATAATACCATGCTGGGACTTGGGGTAGCAGATAATACAGTAGGGGGAAAAAACTGAAAATATACATCTTATAAATTGTCAATACTTTCTAAAGGATTGATAATATAGTATTGATACTATATCAGTCAGGGTCCTGGTAGGACGGTGGAAACAGGGTAGAGTCAACCTGAGTAATTTGAGTAAAGTTCAATAAAAGAACTACAAAGGTGTGTGGAGACAGAGCAAACCAGCCAAGGACAATTCTGTGCTCTAAGACTAGTAACCAATGCATTACCTTTAGATTTGATGGGGCAACGGAAGAGGGGTTGCCGGGATCTGGAGACGGAACCTGTATGGTGAGGGCTACTTGACAAGGAGAGGCACACAGGCCACCATGGTGACTTGGCAAGTTGAGAGCTGGGGCAATCAATGGCCCAACCTCACTCTTCTTTCACCTTCCTTTGGCCAAACCCACCAGGAAACCAGAAGGCAGGAGAGCACATTGATCTAGTCCCTCCAAATCAGTCTCTGGAGAACCAAGTTGCTGGTGAGGGCTGAGTAGAGCTGGAAAATCACCAGCACAATCATACTTTTATCATATTTTAAATTGTGTTGACTATGGGAGTCAATGAAGGCACTGAGGGAATTTGATGGATGGAGAGAATTTATTTGTGCAAGCATGTCAATGCCACTGAAAAACAGGGGATCATCTCCCTTCTCCACTCAGTAGCTGTAGAAGGGTCGCAGTGCTGAGGATACATGTCTGTCCTGACCATTCTGACAGAGCCCTTGCTTGTAAGAAAAGCAGGCTATCTTTTGCATCTGGGAAGCATACTTTTCATTTTGTCCACCATCAAGAGAGAAGGTGATGGAGGGAGGACTTGACTTCCAGGGGAAAGAAATGTTGTGGGCAAAATTTTTGGAACTAAAAGCAGAGACTTGAAGAGTGCTTGGAAATAGTCCTATGGAGTAGGAACATAGTCATCATTTCATATACGAAGAAACCAAGGCTATCAGCCATGGTTCACACATGTCTAGTAAGTAGAAGAGTCACATTCCAAAGGGGCAATGATGGATTAGAACCTTGATTCTTGAGAAACATATACCTCTGTTTTACTGTCAGCTTCATGAAGGAGACTGCAGTAGCATCATTGCCTCATTTATCTCTCTTCTTTGGCCAATAATATCTTGGGATCTTTGTATATACTTTCAGTGGGCAAAGGAACAGAGAAAAATACCTGAATATCTAAGAGTAATCACTGAAGTAGACATAGGTATAATAACTAGGGTGACTGTGTCTCCATGAAGTGGGTTTTTATTTCTCTTCTGCTAGAATGTGACTTTGAAGAAAACCATCTCTGTGGCTTTGTGAACCGCTGGAATCCCAACGTGAACTGGTTCGTTGGAGGAGGAAATATTCGGAACTCCCCCTCCATCCTTCCCCATGACCACACCTTCAAAAGTGAACTGGGTAAGCTGGGAACAGAAAGGTTAGTTTTCCCTGGATAACTGTTTGTCTCTTCCATTTCCTCCCACCCACTGCAATGACCTAACTGTGGCTTCTGTCAACAGACAAGGCAGGGCAAGGATGAGAAGTGACCAGAAAGCCTGATGGAAGAATAGGGGAGAACAGGCAGTGAGATTGAACAATCTGCAGGCCACATGTGAACTCTATAGCAAAGGAGAAGCCCACCCAGTTGAAGACTGCTTTATTTATGACCTGGTTTTGCTATTTTTACAAAGCGATTGTGCTTTGCTTTCCTATCTATTTGTTCATAGATATTTGCTCAGTATTTCTCCATTCTAGAAACAAGGCTGGAATAACACCAGGCTATTTTTCACCCACTAATACTAGACTAAACATCATGAAGTGAACATTAAAAACCTCTCAAGTGGCCATCAGGTGAGCCAATACTGCCCATTTATCCTGAATGTGGTGTGCAGTGGGGCCCCCTTGTGGCCAAGTAGGCTGGTTCCCGAAGAGAAAAATCAGGAGGAGAGGTTAAGTTTAGTAAGAATTTGACAATCAAAAGAAAGTGTCTACAAAAAGATACAAGGACAGAGGTTTTCTTAGTTGTGAGTTATAATTCTTTCACCCCAGTATTGTTGTTGTTAAGTGCCGTCAAGCTGATTCGACTCATAGCAACACTGTATAGGGTTTCCAAGGAGCATCTGTAGACATTGTGTTAAGGAGTCAATGCATATTCTACAACGCCACACCAGGACTCCGGACTCCAGTTGTTGTTGTTGTTAAGTGCTGTCGAGTCGGTTCCAACTCATAGCGACCCTGTACATGGTTTCTGAGGCTGTAAATCTTTACGGGAGCAGAACGCCTCATCTTTCTCCCGCAGAACAGCTGGTAGTTTCAAACTTCTGACCTTGTGGTTCGCAGCCCAATTCGTAACCACTAGGTTTTGTAAAAACCTAAGTGCCCCCACAATTGCAACACACTCCAAGTCTTGCTAAATAGTAAGAAGAGTCTAATGGCTGAGTTTTCCACAAGAGCAAGAATAGAACATCTTGGTTCAGCTGCAAACAGTCGTTTTTTCTTTTGATCTCTTGTCATGTGAATACCGAGATGATCTACCCAGCCCAATTAAACAGCTGCTTATGACAATGTGTTCTCATGTCTGAAGACATGCTTTTCATGGTTCTTTATAGTTTCCTTAATTCACTGTAATTTGTGTTCATCTGAATATTTTTAGCCATGTCTCCAAGTTATTTTTAGTTTTGTTTTTTCAAAAGTGCCCATTCTGAGCCTGTCTTGGCTCTAGAAAGTCTTAGTCCTGATTGTCTTCTTTACTCCTATTCTTTCTCCTTTATATCCAGAACTTCAGTTTCAATTTCCTATGGGGACAAGTATGGTGTGAGCAAGAGATGTGAGCTGGGTGACGACTATGGCAAACTAGAGAGGATAAACCCCGTACAAAGGGAATAGCCCAACTACTCAGCTCTGGTTACTTGTTACCATGTAAAACCCAAGCCCAGGATGCTAGCTCTTTTGACTTTTTGTAATGATTTGGAAATCAAACTTTTTATGTAACATTTCCCCAATGTTCTTTTATTTTGGTAAATATTTTCTAACAACGTTGTGTGGGCCAACAATACACATCTGTAGGTCAAACCCAATTAGCCAACAACTATTTTGCAATTACTACTCTGTGTGTTCCCTTTCTTTTTCAATGAATCCAGGCTTCTTAGGAAAAAAGTGCTTATATGTATAAGCATATGTATAAAGGTTACAGTCCCATGTGGCTTAATTGTTTAAGACAAACCCAACTTTAGATCTTGCATTTTCACTCATTTGACCCCATGTGCAAGGTATGATGGGAGAAATGAAGATTATAATGAAAAGTATTCTATGGGCCCTGCCCAGTTTCAAGGAACATAATATCAAGAAAAAGAAAGACTTGCTGCCACAAACAAATATAATACAAGGTAACTTGTGTCAACTGTCATAAGATTGTTCTGATTCATAGTGAACCTGTATAGGGTTTCCCTTCTCCTCCAGAGAGGCTGGTGGAGTCAACTGCTGACCTTGCACTAATGGCCCAACATGCAAACCACTATGCCACCAGAATGTCATTGTTTTAGGAAATTTCAATTCCCAATGAAGGCCAGTAAAGCCCATTACACCCCAACCCCTAATGAAAATAATTCTACAGTAAGTCTATCACAGTGCTTCAGCAAAAACTGCAGAGGGTCTCAACTTAACATCTACATTTTGCAACTGGTGAGCACTTAAGTGCAGGAGAAAGATGAGGCTTTCTGCTCCTACAAAGACTTAAAAGCCTCAGCAGCACTATACAGGGTCTCTATGAGTCAGACCAACTAGATGGCACTTAACAACAACAACAACAAACATTTAAGCAACAATTAGTCTCCGAGAATTTATTATCATACGTTTCAGATGTCTGAAGTCAAGCCACTGCACTTGGTCCCACGCCCCCTGCCTCTGCAAGCCTGGTGCATCACATGGTGACAGCGGCTTCTTGGCCGCACCATTCACTTTGGCATCATCGTATGTGGTTAATCGCACCGGCGTCATTGCTGGTAACATAAACCAGGACATCGGAGGAGTTTCTTCCATTGATGTATCTATCAGTACCAGGTCCAAAAGTAGCTACTCAGGTAAACCTTAAAAGTCTAGATGATGCTGAAAAAGGAAAGAAGAATAAGAACCAAACAGTAGGATTCACTGGCATGATATCATCTCTGTAGGGAAATTAGGAGGCAGTTGGGTATGTATTTCTGACCAGAGTATAGATAAACAAGCACGGTAACAGGAACCAAGGTGCTCAGGGCAAAGCTGAACATACGGTAAAAGAAGACAGAGATGATCCAGGCAGCATGGTCCTTGTAGGCACCGTAAGTCTAAGAATAGAAATTGTAATCGCAGTGTGCACTCATTGGCATCATCCATGAAGTCAGAGTCCCTTCCTAGTTCAGAACTGAAAAGTGACACTGATCTGAATCTGCCAGGATGCCCAAGAGCATCAACAGTTCTACGGCACTGATGATAGGGTAGCAGACACCAAACAGGATGCAGAACAGACAGCAGCTATTTGAGTAGAACCACATTGAGGATATGGCTATCTTCATTGCTCCAGCCATGGGTGCAAACTCCTCCTCTACCACTCCTGTTCTGCCTGGACTTACCTGCTCCACACTTCTGCTGAAAGCGTCTACATCCTACCACCCCAACCCTCTGCACTTCCCCTGAGTACTCCTACACACACATCCAAAAAAGCACTGGGTATTTGGAGACAGAAAGAAATCACTCAGTCACTTACTTACTGTTCGAAGATTCTAGAAGACATGGTAAATGAAATACACTGCATTTGAAAGATTGGTATGATTTGCTAGAGGCAGGAGAGAATAGGAGGAATGATAGCTATTACAAGGTATCAAGTGGGGAGAGAGATGACTGAAGAAGCAGTGAAGAGGCGAGTTCTAGAACATCTTGAATGCCAGGAAGGAACATTGAACTTTATTTTGTTGACAATGGAAATCCACTGGAGGTCTTTGAGCAGGGGGTGTATGCTGTCTATCACAGCTGTGCGTTTAGGTGGATTCTTCTATGGATTCTTCAGATGAGCTCGGAAAACAGACGACAAAACTACAAGAACAAGAAAGCAAAGGAATGCTCCCAGATACCATTTCTTTGTATATATCTGAGGTCATTTAGAAAAGGATCTGAGATTGGGAAAAAGTAAAACATTTTAGCTTCTTTCTTCTATAAGTAAAGTTTATTTCTTTGGGGAATGACAAACGATTGGGGTTTCCATATGTGAATACTATATTTCAGCCCTAATAACACATAGCTCCTCTCCATTTGTGGCCACTGTAGGAACCACACTACCAAGGAGTGTCATGTGTAGATGAATAACTGGTGCATAAATCTGCATAAGCATTTCAAAAGACAACTTAGCCTACTAAAAACAGCAGCACTGCCAGTACCTTCTGAGTCCTTTGTTTAATGAATAAAATAAGTAATAAACTCTTGGGATTACATAAAAGAAAAGCCAGTTGGCTTTTTCTGAATTTATGGAAATAGTCTAAGTTTGAGATTGCTTTTCTGTTATATCCTAAGAATCTAATACAAGGAGCGGAGAGAAACTTCAAAGACTGATGCATTAAAATTGTAACAACCTTTTGTGTCATTGCCACTGTTAAACAGACATACAAGTTTCAACTTAAGCATGAGGAGATGTTGGAGAACTTTTCCCAGTTCACTTAAAATTCAGTAACGAAGTCAATTCCGCTGGGTAAACAATGTCACGATCTACTGATGACTTATTGAGTACATGTAAGTTTTTCATCCTCAATGATGACAAGGACCAGCAGACAGGAAGAACACATAGCAGGGGCAGTGGCCCTATGAACCACTCTTCAGTCCTTCATTTGACTATATTAACCAAATGCAATTCATCCTTTGAAGATCACTTCACCCCTAGCCTATATTACTCTCAATTATGACCACAGAACATTCCAACCATATTTGTGTCAACAAGAGGTAGAAAAGGAGTGTCAGACTAGGATTCAGAATGCTTGTGCCCAAACCCAGTTATTAGAAACCCTTTCTACTGTAGCCACTCCCTTAATTTCTTCTGGGCTCCATTTGCCTGTTTGCAAAACGAGGAATTTGAGTTCAGTGATTGCTAAGTTGGTTTCGAGACTAATATTTTTACTTTTCTCTACTTACTCAATGCTATCTACTAAAATATCCAACTTTACCACCTATTGAGACCTGTTTCAAAAATATTTGGGGTCACTCTTGAGTACTTGTAAGCACGATGCCTTTGACATTGTTGGTGTGGCTAAGTGCTCTGTAGTGGGCTCTAACTCATAGACTCTGTGTAGGATCTCCAAGGTTGTAAATCTTTGTGGGAGCAGAAAGCTTCACCTTTCTCCTGAGGAGAGACTGCTGGATTCAAACTGCCAACCTTGTGATTTGCTATCCAATGCTTA